AAAAAAAAAATTTTTTTTTAAAAATAAAAAATAAAAAAATAAATAAGATAAATAAAAATAAATAAAACTTATTTTTAAGATGTTGTAACATGAGGGGCGCCTGGGTGGCTTAGTCGGTTAAGCGTCCGACTTTCGCTTAAGTCATGATCTCGCGGTTTGTGGGTTCAAGCCCCGCGTTGGGCTCTGTGCTGACTGCCGGTTTAGAGCCTGGAGCCTATTTCGGAGTCTGTGATTCCCTCTCTCTCTGACCCTCCCCTGCTCACGCTGTCTCTCTCTCTCTCTCCTAGAAATAAATAAAACATTAAAAAAAATTTAAAAAAAATAAAAACTAAAAAATAAAATGTTGTAACATGAAGACACAGGGAACACTACCAGTCACTTAAAGTCACACTGTGAGGCACGTGCCTGGTTCAGTCAGTTTAAGCAACCAACTCTTGATTTCAATTCAGGTCATGATCTCATGCTTTGTGAGATTCAGAAGGCTCTGGGTTGTGCTGTTGCTGTGGGGCTCCATGCTGCAGAGGCCTGCTTGGGATTCGATCTTTCTCCCTCCCCTGCTCGCACTCTCTCAAAATAAATAAACTTAAAAAAAAAATAAAATAAAGTCACACTGCAAAGAATCAAGAGTATGGGAAAAGGCTCACAATAGATTTTAGAAAGCAACACATAAAATTACATAGCTTATATATTATATAAGTTAATATATTCCTCTTTCTATTCAAATATAACAAATATATACATGCAGGGGAAAAAGGATTGAAAGAAAATACAAAATTTTTATCAGTAATTATCTCTGGAATGAAATTTGCAGTCGTGGTGTATCATCCCTTGAACTTTTCTATATTTTTCAAAGTCTATACAATGAGCATGTGTCCCTCTGAAAACATAGGATTTTTCTGATTTTTTAAATAACAGGAAGTAGGGAAACAACAGAGAAACATGGATTTTATCCATTCATGGCCTGTGTGACTAGAGCAAGTGTCCAATAGGAAAGGAGGTCTTCATTACAAGGTGATAAGGACATCAATTTACACTTTTCCCTCAAGAGCAGAAGGGCCACTGCCCTTCCACACCCTGGCCCTGCTCAGCTGCCCTTTCTAGCACGCCCCATGAAAAGCTCACTACCTCGCTATGAGGGCTAAGCAATTGGAGCAAACTATCCCTATTCAGTCTGGGTAGTTACTATCTCCATTTGTCCGCTGAGGAAACTGAGACATAGACAGGACTTGGTCAATGGAAAAGTCAGGATCTGAACTAAGCATTCTGGCTCCAGAGCCTCTTTCTTTAGAACCACCTCTAAGACCCCTTTCAGGAGGAACCAGGGCCGTGCCCAGTTAACACATCTAGTCTATTTCCTCAACCACCTGAGTAGACTCTGTTGCACATCTATAAAAGAAAGTTGGCCTTCAGCAAAGATTTCCAAACTTCTTCTGCACACTGACATTTACCCAGAGCTTTTCAAGAAGTTCTAACATCTGAGGGCACCTGGGTGGCTCAGTTGGTTAAGCTTCGGCTTAACCAGAACTTCGGCTCAGGTCATGATCTCGCAGTTCGTGGGTTTGAGCCCTGCATCGGGTTCTGTGCTGACAGCTCAGAGCCTGGAGCCTGTTTTGGATTCAGTGTCTCCCTCTCTCTCTGCCCCTCCCTTGCTTGCACTGTCTCTGTCTCAAAAATAAATAAACATTAAAAAAAATTTTTTTAAGATGCTGGCTTCATATCCAAGCAGCATATCTCAAAAAAAAAAAAAAAAAGTTCTAACATCCGGCTCCCACCCTCATCATTGATTTCTCTAGTCTGTGTCTTCATCTGTAAAGTTCCATTAATAACAGTACTTATTTCTCAGAGTTCATATAATGATATTTTGTATATAATAAATATCTAGAACTTTATCTGGTACATAGTAAGCACTAAGAGTTTAATATTAATATCTTCTTGCATGTTTTATTTAGAGCCTTCAAATCTAGTATGAGCTGTATATTATGCACACTTTACAAGGTACATGTTTTAACCATACTCTTTTGCTCTTTTTGTAGATCACAGACAAAATAGGGAAAAGAGTCAAAAACACAAAGAATGAAATTTCAGGAGAGTCAAGGCATTTCCTACAAGATACATGGTGATGTTCTACTATGCCAGATTAAAATATGATCTAAAAAGCATTGGTCTCGGTGATAGCTATTTATTTCATTTTGCTCTGAAATGTTTAGAAGCTAGAAAAATACATACAATTTGCACCTGATCAATGCTCTGCAAACTGCCTGCAGGATCGTGTTCATACTAGTAAGATTTATTGCTAACCAACATGCCAGGCTAAATTGAAATCAAGATATTACACAATTTTCCAATAAAGACGTAATTTTATAAGTTGGTATAAATGCTTGTGAGGATGTAATTGTTGGCATCTTGTTATATTTCAATAGCTGGTGGAAAATGAGATAAGTTGGAAGGTTTATAGAAGGTCAGAGCTCATCAGATGAGAAGATCATCTTTTTTTTTATCAGCTCTAGAAAGCACATTTATAGGCTGATAACTAAACAGTTATTCTTTAACAGTTGGAACAGTCAGTATTTCCAAAACATTCCAACTAAGTACAGCTACTGTGGAAGATTCTACTAAAACACTATGAAATGAAAGAAGAAGAATACTTGAGGTTCACTGCCTTTGTGAATCTTGATTTGTTATTTATCTTTTCTGAGTTTTTACTAAGAACTAAAAATATAATATATACCTGCCTCCATATTTTTCCATCTTTATTGAGATATAATTGATATAACATTGTAAGCATGATATTATTCTTTTTGAAATAAGTCAATTTCTTTTTCAGCCTATTTAGAGTTTTGTAATTGAGTATTCAAATTTAAATAATAGATATAAAATTCTTCAGTTGTTACTTAGTATTTAAAATGTCACAAAAGAGCCTATCCTATTAAGTTATCCTATACCTTTTCATGCACTCTGTGGGCATTTAAAGAAAGACCCTTCTCTCTACCACTTAAAATGCACTTCTCAGAGAACATTTGGATATCCAAACTCCTACTGTTAAAAACTCTAGAGCTATTAGTGCCAAATCCATCCTTCAATTCAACTTGTGAGTAACGAAACACTAAGTGGAAGCAGGAGGCAGTCCCTGTTCCTGCTCTCATGGAAATGATTTAGGATGTACCGTCAGACCTAGAGCTCAGGCCTCTTGACTCCCAGCCTTCAGCTAGCATTACCCCCATAAACTGTGATTCATTCTTTGCTAAGCAAACTTAGACTGTGTTATATTGTAGCCCCCAAACCTTCCAAGATTTGCAGCCTCCACTGTAAAAACTAATTCAGGTGAGGATACTGAAACCACTGTGTGGCAGACAGAAGAATGAATCCCCACCACCACCAGTGTCCACTTCCTAATGCTAAGAACCTGTGAATCTGTCACCTTATATGGCAAAGTGACCCTACAGGTATGATTAAGTTAAGGACTTTGAGATGGGGAGATTATCCTGGATTATCTAAGTGGCTCCAATCTAATCACACGAATCCTTTAAAAGCTGTCCAAGCTGTGGTCAGAGACAGATGTGACTACCGAAAAATGGTCTGAGAGATGCAATGCTGCTGGTTTTAAAGACGAGGGACGGGGCCAGAGCCAAGGAATTTAGGCGGCACTGAGAAGATGGAAAAGGTGGTAAAACACATTCTTCCCCTAGAGACTCCCCTGCCCACACTTTGATTTTAACCCAATGGGACCCAAGTTGGATTTCTGACCTATAGGATTGTAAGACAATAAATCTGCATTGTTTTAAGACACTAAGTTTCTGGGGGCGCCTGGGTGGCTTAGTCGGTTAAGCGTCCGACTTTCGCTTAGGTCATGATCTCGCGGTTCATGGGTTCGAGCCCCGCGTCGGGCTCTGTGCTGACTGCCAGCTCAGAGCCTGGAGCCTGTTTCAGTCTGTGACTCCCTCTCTCTGACCCTTCCCTGCTCAAGCTGTCTCTCTCTCTCCTGGAAATAAATAAAACATTTGAAAAAAAAAAAAAAAAAAGACACTAAGTTTCTGGTAATTTGTTGTAGCAGTAGTAGAAAACTAGTACACACAAATGAAAAGTTATTCACATGGTCTCAAAGTATCACTCTACAAATTACTTACTAACTACAAAAAAGAAAAGGTGCCATTATGAAGATAGGTCTAACAGATAAGCACCTTAACTAATGGATCAAATAAGCAACACCAGTAACGAGACAACCTAAAAGGATAGTCTCTCCTGACAGGACAAGAGGAAATACACATCACCCGCACAGCATTTTTGCCAAAAATGTTTACTTGATTCTGATCATGAGAACACAATCAGATAAACAATAACTGTAGGACATCCTATAAGACAATGGCCTACATTTGTCAAAAATGTCACTGATGTATTATTGTCAACTCTACTCAAATAAAAATAAATTTATTAAAATAATTGTAAAAAATAATTTAAAAATAAACAACAAAAAACCTCACTGATGTGAAAAGCAAAAAACGAGGGAACACTGGGGGTGCCTAGATGGCTCAGTCGGTTAAGCGGTCAAAGTCGGCTTAGGTCATGATCTCACAGTTCATGGGTTTGAGCCCCGCGTCGGGCTCTGTGCTGACAGCCAGCTCAGAGCCTGGAGCCTGCTTAAGATTCTGTGTCTCACTCTCTCTCTAACCCTCCCCTGC